TTTTTTTTTTTTTTACGTGGAGGTAGGCCGACTCTATGTGATAAACAATTGGCAACCAAACGGTAGTTCTCCCTCTACATTCGACGGATAATGTGTTCGGGTATTTAATGTAATTTCTTAGCAATTTATTTTTGTAATTCATACAAAGCGATATATTATGAAATTAAATTAATCACTCAATAAGTATTAACATTAGATTGTTTCCTCGATATGGCCATGGTGGTCATCCGTGACTGGAGTGCCTCAAATGTTTAGAATAATTAAAGTAAAATAAATGTCAACTAAAAATGTTGAACGTCATAGCTAGCTAGACATTATTTTCAATTGAAAAAAAAAATTATAAAGCATAATACTATAATCCTATGCTTAAAATGTATTTTCTTGTGGCCGCCTAACAGCAACCTGTAAATCTGGCGCCACAGTGAACGTGTTAATAAGAAAATGTTGTTCAAATTATATCGTGTTTGATATCATTTTCATCAGAAAAATCTCACCAACATGTTAAAAAAAATTCCAGATGAAAAAATTAAAAATTAAAGAAATTATATTTTTCTTTTATGATTTGACGAGCCCTGAAATCTCGTAAAGGAAACAGACTGGTGTAGCGTTTCACGCTTGATTGACTGCGAGCGAGGTAACATGGGCGCAGCAATGACGCAGCCTAGGCGTAGGACCATCTATACTGTCACTTGTAGAATCCAAACTTACTGACTCCTGTAGAGAATTTACTGTAATAGGTATACCTACATACATTCGTATGAAAAAACATAGGTGATGTCAAAGAAAAACAGAAAAGAAGACATTTATAAAAAGAATTTTCTTCCATCTTATTCACCATTTGAAACCATTTAGCTTACGTATAAACAAATTTTCCTACCACCTTAGCTAGAGAAGATAATAAAATAGCCTTTTTTACGTGGCTCATTCTGTATAATTATATCCCTCCATGTTCCACCATGTGTCTCATGTTACTACAATTATATTATAATATACAATTTTTATTTTAAAATCCACTAATTCAAAAAGGAAGAACTCATGGCTGTTCTTATCCTTGTACCACATAAACTTTAATCCAAGCTGCATGAAATTCCAGAAAATACTGTCACAGATAATCTTAACGATCTTTCAGCTACACTCTGGTTGTTAAATTAAACCAATGTCTCGTAATTCCTGCTTACGATGATATTGCGCCATCGTAGTTCACGGATATTGAAGATCAAGATCAAGGTTCTTTGCGATATTGACCTTCGAACACGTGATTGCCAAATTTAAATAATCCATAACCCCTGAAATAGAGCAACCGGAATGGTTATCGCGATGTAAAAGCTTCTTTTAACAATTCAGTTCATCGTTTATTTTGCCGGAAACTTAAAAAAAGAAGAGGTCCGTTGATTTTAGTCTAAACTGCCAATTAATCGAGTTATTTGTAAAGAAATAAATTTTGAAGATTTCTCACAATTATTTAAATTATATTAAAAATTTTGTATCATAATGAAATTTATGTTGTTATTCTTTTTGTGATATGTTATCTACTACTATCGAAAACTGTTAGAAAGAAGACGGTACGAAAATAAGATAATAAATAAATAAAGTTATCCAAAATAAGATAAATAAAACTAAAAATTAATCTTGGTTTCAAGTTCAAGTAAGAAGTTTTTTAAGTTATTTCTCTCTTGCCTTTAATTCTGCTGTTAATATTCTGAAAGTCTTCCTTGAAATATGCTAAAAAGAAGTGAACTGAGCGACCATCGACGCAAGTTAATTCTTTTTCTTTTTAAACAGGGTAAAAGCCAGGAAGGAATTAATTGTCAAATGTTGACAAAGGATGGCCCAATAAAATATGAACAAAATTAATAAAAAA